ATATTTGGCGATAACTGGAGACTTAACATCACTTTCAATCAATTGTGTATTAAAAATAGGTCTAGCTTTGTAAATAACTTTATTTTCATTAAACTAAATAAATAGATAACTCTATAATTGTTTCGATGGCTTCATAACGAAACAAAGAGTTCGCTTAAAAATAGTGCATTTTTTCTAACTTTATGTAAAAATAATATCACAATTCAAATGTTAAGACAAATATCACAATAAATTGAGTAATTCATATCTAATGATTAGATAATTCAATCATTTGTATGAATTATAGCAATACTATTAACCAAACCGTTTGGTAGCGATTCATTCGGCCCTCCGAGCGCACTGTTAGCACTGTTATTCTGTGCGGTGGCACCGGAAGGGCCGGCCTTTTGCCCATCCACTTCAGTCTCGGACTCTTTTTTCTTGACAATCGCGATCTGAGCCTTATATACAACATATGCCAAGAATCCGATTCCCACGAACAGCACCACTACGCCAAAGCCGGCGATCGAGATGGTGATGATCGGGGTCTTACTCGCCTTGTCGTCGTTAAATATGAATTTACACATCAGTCCGAACACAATGATGGCGCTCCCGATCAGCGAGAAGAACCTTCCGATATGATAGCTCTTATGGTTAGACAGCTGTCGCTTATCCTTCTCGTAGCGGCTCTCAGAGCGCGTGAAGAAGAAGTTGCGGTTCGGCTTCTTTCGGTTCACATTCATTTGGCCGCCAATTGTCTCCGCAAACAAGTCATTCAATTAACACATCAGTCGCCTTCAAATGGGATCTAATATTGCATTTGTTTTCAATGGCTGAGCGAAAAGTGTTGAAACAATTGCAGCGATAGATAGGCTTAAAATATATAGAATTCTAGATAATTGCTATAACTGTCACTCAGGTAACCCTAACAGCGTTGATGTCAAATCTTAAAAAGGTAATTACATTTTAAAACAATTTTTTTAATACATTTTCATAGTTCACTCAAATCCACTTTCCAATAAACACATATTAAATGTAATAAAATTTATATTTTGTTTTATTTCAGAAAAAGCTATTTTAAAAGGTATTTAATTACATGATCCGAGTTATAGCACACAAACGTAGGCTTTGATGTCATAGACTACCACTTTGTGAGGCATTCTGTGGTTTACCTGACATTCTCTCGCAAATATTAAAGCATTTAATGAATTCAGCGGTTCGTTTAGCACTGAATAAAAGCATAATTTGTTTTATTTGATATAAATATTATTATAAATTATATTAATTATTAATATTTTTTTAATAAAAACATAATTCAATCTCAGCATTAATTTATAGACATATATATCACAGACTAAAACATTCCGTCTTTGATGCCAATGGGTATCAAAAACAGCAAAAATATGACAATATTTCTAGTGGTGTACCGCCAATCGGAAGGGATGGCGTATTTAACCATTTTATGCGTCAAATCGTGGATCTCATGAGCGATACAAATGAATATGAATGACGTGATGACAACATTCAGTACGGGATAACTGGGCACCAGTACCAGAATGCCATGAGTGTCAGCGCCCAACCAGATATGGTATTGACAAATGAATAGCTGTTGAATCAATTTATGGTAAACTATTGAATTTGAATAAAAATTACAATTAAATTATGTATACTTCGAGTGATATTTTGCCGATTCTGGCGAAGAAAGTGCTGTGTCTGACCCTTAAGAGCCCGGATATGTTGCGCAACACTATATATGACACGATCTAACGGTTCACATGAAACATAAGAATAGTTGAAAAAATACAAATTGTGTGTTAATCACGTGTTTACCGGAATAAATGATATGTACGGATGAATTTCATTACATTCGGGTTTATTTCGACAAATAATTGTAAAGATGACATACATCTGAGGCATAAATAAATGTAATTTTAGTCTTTAAATTGTGTGATAAATATTAATGAAAGCAATTCATACCATTATTCCGGCAAATGAAGCAAATGCTACAATAAATCCAAGACCTCTTGAGAACAGATATCCGTGATTGTGATCATCAATAATGTGGTGTTTTTTGAGCAAATGGTAACCAAATGCAAACAACATACCGGCCGGAACGCTCTGGGATGCAAACAATCAGTTAATTTTCACATTTAAAACACCATATAATCCAAACCATACATATCTATCAATTTTCCATCTAAACCACCATTCCTTGAGTGAGTCATCGGTGGTAACAAAGAGTGCTTTCCAGGGACGGGTCAGGAAGATCTTCTCGAAGAACACTTCAGACATGTATAGAATCGTTATTATACTAAACAATACGACAAACTTTAACACTATATATAAGTATTGAATCGGATTTGCTGTCAAACAATAAGAAAAGAAATTTAAAATTTAACTCATTTGTGGATTAATGGATGCGACAAACCATCGGCAGTAACAGCAGTCACGTGCGGAATGGCATAAAACGTGGCGTAAATGACTAAATACCAGAACGAGACCAATGGCACGAAGTAGTAGAACTGATACGGTCTGTTCATACAGAGACACAGACACACCACCAGAAGATTGATCCGAAATATCACCTTAAAATGAGTTTCATTTCAGAATAAAAATACGGCAACAGAAATAATGAATTACTAGAACATACTTTCCATAGGCGATGAAAGCTAACGTCTCCCGTCTGCCAAAAGTAGGTGAAGTGCCCGAAACCGCTGAGGAACAGGTATGCGGTGACCAGTAGACGAATGTGCATATAGATTGTCAGCACCTGAGACGCGCCGGTATAGTGATATGCTATTGAATACAACACAAAATACTACACATATTGACGAGGAAGTGGTTGTCACAAAAACAGACCCAAAATAATCATTTGCATCCATCCCTTGAGTTCGTCGGTTTGGTCGCGATGTAAGACAATTGTATGCGAAGACTCTTCGGTGAAGAAGAGGCCCAAAGCGAACACGTAAGCGATGGGTAGGAAGAAGTTGGGACGAGTGAAGTACTTGTTCTCCTTCATGAAGAAGTTGGTTCTGTCGCACAGGAAGAAGTAGAACATAATTAATGACATTTTCGCCAAACATGTCATCAACTCGTAGAAGGATTTCACGTCCGCCTCCGACACCACGTTATTATCGGCGCAGTCGTCGGTGTCTTCATTGACCAATAGATGCCATTTGTATGACTTCGTGGAGAACTTGCGATGAAATAACACTACGATTGCGATCACAATAAACAGCGTGAAGACCACAAAGACTATCATCTGAAGAGTGGTAATCACTTCGGGATCACTACAACAGGTGCCGTCGTTATAGTTCATCTGATCGTTGCAATACATGTTTAGTAGTATCTGAATGGCAAAGTTGAGTGCCTTAGCGCTCATGTGGAGGCCATCATCGGCGGGATTGCCTGCGCCCGAGCTGTAGCCCTGAGCCACGAGTCGGGCTGAGCTCCAGATGTGAACGTTATCCGATTGGCTGTACTTCAGTATTTCCATCGCAGCCTTATTGTAGGCATCGATTTGTTCGTTGGTTATCATAGAGCGGTCGGGTTTGAGCTTTTCGGGCGACACCGGGTCCTGAAGAGCCCACAGGATTTGTGTGGAAGCACTCAATTGGTCCAAATTGGGCACAAGTAGTGTCAGATTCTTGCGGTAGTGCTCTAACGCCTTAAGGCTAGCGTTACTCGATTTGATGGAATGCGTGGCACTTCCCATCACTATTAGATTGGGTCTTTCGGTCACATCTTTGCGCAGCCATTGTCTAAACACGTCAGCCATGGAATCGTTGACAATCGGGTGCCAAAGAAATTNATACATTAATAAAATTATTACTTAATACACTGTGAATATAATGTTTTCAAATTCATATCCAGTAATCTCTGGATACTTGTGTAATAAACTGTATGCGAAAAACAGTTACAATTAAATAAATAAATAACACAAATGCACATTTTATTGAAACATTTAATTATAGACATAATAACCCGATGCCTACCGTTTCGCTAAACAAATGATTACTATTTTATGACACAAAACGTTATAAATATTTATATTAATGTATTAATCAATACATTCAGTGATAATAATAAAGCAAACACTATATGAAGGGATGAATGAATTTGGGAAACAATTTCCTTCAAAATAAACCCAAAATATGTAATTATTTTTTGCAAAACCATTTATAAATAGCGGTGAAAACGAGTGAAATATTTGTCGCTAAAAAGCATTACAAAAAATATATAACTATTAATAAAAACTTATGAATCATTTGAAACGGTAAACTCGTAATCACAATAAAAACACACAATTATATCAATAATATTGCGCTCATTATAACAGCAATCAAATCACAATTAACAGTAATATGTTAGCACAATGTGAGACACTATCTCATCGGTGGTAAGGGGTGTGAAGTAGTGATAAGTGGATGAATACATACGAAAACATTTGTGATGAGTGTTGGCGTCCCGTGTATTGCCAGGCATTCAACCATTCATTCGCGGCATTCATTAGTGGTGTAAACAGTGGTCTAATTGAGTGAATGGTTTGCTAATGACAATGACTGCACACTACATATAATTGGCACTCATATGACACCAAATCGCTTCTCATAATCGTCCGCATATTGCCATTGAGTTTGAATTTCAATTGTGTTTATATTCAGCTAATAATCAATAGCTATATAAGCAGTGAATGTCTGGCGAATAGGCATTCAATTGGCAATTGATGGCCAAAACTCACTGTCAATACAAACATTCATTTCAATGCCTATCACATGCTTTTTAGTCCGTATATTACGACACCTTTTTAGACCCTATGTGTGACACCATTCCCATTGAAATACATTGAAATGGCACTAAAAGGGGGCAAAACTCGCGTATTGATTGTAACGGTATTTATAGATATCAAATATTTTTCACCGGATTTTCAATATTGAATGTCATCTCAAATGATAAGTAAATTATTTTTGTTTATGTTTTATAAGTGAAATCATTTCATAACTTACCCAGATTAGATACGTGGCGTTGAGATTATATAACACTTGTATAAATTAAGTCTCGTTATAGACTAAATAAATCATATTAATAACACAACTATAATATAATTGACACCTATTTCAACGTATGACTCATACAAATAAAACAGTATTTTATATCACATTATCTGTGAACGTCTCATCAAAATGTTGTTTATTTTTTTGAAAACCTTTTTTGACAATTGATGTGAAAAAGTGACAAAAAGTTTTGATTACAAGTTTGAAACCACAACTCAATTAACCACTCATTAAATACTCATTAAATACAATAACACACCGATTGACACAAACACTGATTACACGTCAATATATTGGGTATAAATAAAGTTTTTATTATAAATCTCTGTGTGAATGAAAATTGTGGTCAAAAGTGATGATAATTTGATGCCATTATAAATAATCGGTTGAATTGAATGAACAAAACACACAAATAGTGGCCATTGAGTGAAGACATGTCAGTGCCGTGTATGTGATGATAATGAGCGGAGGTGTGGGTGCGATGGGGGGCAGGGATGACGCCATCACCGCTAAGTTCAACGCCACCAACGCTAAGAGGATTGCCTTAATACTAGTGATGGCATTGATTGCATACCACGGAGTACTTCATCTCACTTATGGTATGCGTTTGCCTCACAATCCATTCCTCCTGTATATCACTGACCATTGATTTGTCTGAAGGCATAAAGTCCTGTAAATGGCTTCTAAGAGACGGGAGTTTCCATGGATTTGGGGATTACAGCGTTTGGCAGGTCTTTGATATGTCTTTGATATGTCTTCACATGAGATCTGTTTTGAACTCATTATATAGTTATTGACATTTGAATACTAAATGCTTTTCTCTATCCGTGTAATAGCCGTACGGATGTATGATTCATAACTACAATAAAATGTAACTTATATTTGATTTCGCATACGATATGACAACTAATGTTTGTATTGTTTATCATAACGTGTGGTCCAGTGATACCCGGATGTGTTTGCGATACATAGCCTATTGGGGCGGAAAGAATAATATCGTCTTTTTGGGTGACTCTCGGATCAGACAATTATATTATGCGTTCATTAAGACGTGTAGTCCTAATGAGAACCTCATTAACACCGACTCTCCAGCGCATCACGACTTGGAGTATAAGGAACGGGATCTCAGACTCGAAGTAGAATTTCTTTGGCACCCGATTGTCAACGATTCCATGGCTGACGTGTTTAGACAATGGCTGCGCAAAGATGTGACCGAAAGACCCAATCTAATAGTGATGGGAAGTGCCACGCATTCCATCAAATCGAG